ATCAGCTTATGCTGCCTATATACCGACCTGCGTAAACAAATAAATGATGTATGTATGTATCTATGTATTTTTGGAGTTTAGTGTTTCGAAGAGGGTTAGAAATTTTTACAAGAGTCCTCCAGTCCCTCTCCAGTACTCCTCCTAAAACACGTACCGCTGACCAAAAATAGGAAGGTTCCGTGTGATTTCCCGCCACTTTTTGACGCGTCGACGCGGGGTGAGAAGCGCGCGAAAATATTTTTCGGAGGGCCAGATTTATGAATTTGTCATAGTGCAACAGAAGCACAGAAGGTAAAGTCCAAATATTTTCTCTTTTTTTTCTTAGTTATCAGTTGTACTTTCCTAATATCTATCTAGTGTAATTGTCTCTAAAAGCGTTTAGCTTGCATTTTATATTTTTTTAAGTTAGTGTGAATTTGTAGTTCATTTAAAATTTTTATAGTGTTACGAACAAAGTCCTCTACAACAACACGAAAACGACAACGAAAGACAACGATTTGGAGCTACTTTATGCAATCCTTAGCATTTGTTTACTCTGAATTTTCTCATATTTTACTTTTTAGTAGTCCTTTCTCTTGGACAAATTTATCATGCCTTCCAATCCAAAGAAAGGAAAGACTCTCAAGTGCACGGAAAATCTCAAGGAGTTTTATGAGAAAGAAGACGAGTTCAAATTTTCCGAAGGTTGGTAAAAATGTTGGACAAACTATAAAACTCTTGCATGCTTGAACTGTTGTTGTCGCTAGAGATAAAATGCAATAAACATTTCGAGAACTTCAAAGGAATCGACGAAAAATACGAACTTTATTAATTATTCATCTGTCCATTTTGTAAACGATTTTCATGCTTGCATCCTTCACGGTCACCTTCACTCATGAATGGGTTCCTGCCATTTGTCCAGTTTATTGACTGCGCTTCAGGCCTCGTCCACACTACGCCAGAGAAATCTGACAACGGCATTTTCATTCTGAAATCCTATCAAATGTTTTCCGTCTACACTAACTGGAGAATTTTGGAAACGCGACTATCGCCGGTCATTTTGAATTTGTGTTTGAGAATTACACTCGAGCAGGTAAATCACATGATTATCGCAATGTCATTGTTTTTGATCGAAAAGCTCCGTTTTCAAAATGTTTTCCGCCCACACTAAAACAAAAGGCCAGCGTTTTCAAATTCCTCCGTTTTGAAGAGCGTTTTCGAAAAGCTCCGTTTTCGTGACGGCTAAGTGTAGAAAGTAGGCCTAACCGTAGAAATATAAATTAAAGCTGCTTTTCAAATTTCTCCGGCGTAGTGTGGACGCGACGTCAAAGATAATTTCTTGTTTGTGTCGACAGCTTCATCAGTCAAACCTGAGCAACAACAAATACCTGCCCAGGTACCCCTGGCTAAGACAAAGAAAAGGCAGCCTGTAACGCCAGCCGCGGATTTTCCAGATTCTGATCCCGAAGATGATTATGACAAGGGGTGCGTAATATAACAAAATAAATTGCTATTTTGTAATGTAATGTTTTGAAAGTCTTTTTTTTTTTCCATCGGTGGTATAACTCACCCGTCTCTTCACACGTGCTCTCAAAGACTCATCATAACCAATGAATAGCGTGAATTTAAGAGCACAACCTAAGTAATATAAAAATACACCTTTTTGGTTCCCTTTTCTGCAGGAGTGATCTTGAAATGCAGGGAATGCTGAATAGCTTTGGAGGTAAGCACGTTTTAAACTGACGCACTCAACTGATTTGTTGCTCTGCTATCCAAAACGATCACTGAGTGATAGGTCATCGCAGAAAATAATTGTCTCTTTGAACGCTTTCAGCTGACATTACCAAGACAATAACGGCCAAGCGGAAGAGAATTCAAACGTTCACACAAGCATCTCTAAAGGCTAGCAGTAGAAAGTTTGATGAGGTGTGGCAGTCACAGCAACATGAAAGGTAAAACAAAGATATCGTAGCCCCTAACAGGGAACTCTGATACTGATTACCATACTGATAGATGGAGTTCTGTCAGGATGCTCAGGAACGGTACTACGGTACGGTAATTAGCTTGTCTAAATTTGTGTCGTTCAAATCCAAAATAGTTGTCACTGTTTAACTTTAATACCGTGAACTCCTTTAAAGGATTGTGTCAAGGCTGGTTAGGTGGTTGGAGTAAGGTGTAATAGTATTAATTATCTGACACTAAAAGGCTTGCCAATATACCCAAATTAGTACACCGTAAAATTGAGCATATGCTTTATATCAGGGTAAAGATCAATTAAATGAATTTCAAACTTTCGGCTAAATATCTTTGAGTAACTTCAATGCTGTCAAGCTTTTTGCTGGCTTGGTATAGGTTACAAAGTTGCGTGGCTTTAAGCCTGGAGATAAACATACTTTATACTTACTTGATCAATTATTCCTAACTACTAACGAGAAGTCTTGCAACCAAATAATGTTCACTAGAAGCAGTCATTATGGGGAATTCAGCAAGCAGGTCATGAATGTAATAAATCAATGGGAGACAGATTTACAGAAAACACGAGAAGCAGAGGAGAAATTGGAGGTAATAGTAAACTTGTAAACTTTGTGGAGTGGAGTCTGTATCTTGCCGGGAATGAAAACAAGATGACCAATCAATTGATTGGTCGGTCGGTCAGTCAGTCAGTCAGTCAGTGATGTTAGTCGTCGCTCAGTCAGTCACGTCGCGTCACGTCATGTCATGTCACTTGTCATGTCACGATAGTAAGTCCTTCAAGTAAACTTTTCACCGGGGGGAAGAAATGCCACCACATGACAAATTGTTTTTTGTTATGCCGATTTTTATTTCAGAACCTGTACAAACAACAACAGAAGCTCTTCCAGCAACAGCGGATTGTGCAGGGCCAGAGACTCAAAAGAGTTCGTCAGCTTCACGAAGATTATACAAAGAACTTACAAGAAATGCAAAGAAGTCACGAGGGTCAACAAATTAGTGTCCAGGAGCAACTTCGGAAAGAGGTTAACATGTTGCAAAAGAAGATCCTCAGTGACACGGTAGGTTGAATTTAGTTAGTATTCAACAATATTTTACCAGAGAAAGATAAGACCGATTACGGAAAGCCAATAAAGAGAGTACATCCAGGTGACTATAACTAAACGTCCTGATCAATACTTAGAAAATTGAGATGACAAGTTGATTGTATGTTATTGTTTGGAATCACATAACATCAAGGTTTTTACTTTCACACAAATTTTCCTTTTTCTATTCTTCAGCAACATCAAGACTTTTCAAGTGTCCGACGGTCTCTTCAGAGTATGCTGGCCCAAGTATAGCCTTAAGTATAACATGTACAAAATGGATGTTTTGAATCCTGAGGAAACTGTGATCTCTTTATGTATCACATTTAGACAACCTAACAAAATAATACTGTCAATGGTATATTACGTGAGCTATACTGTTTGATATAAACAGCAAAGCACATTTGACGTTGTATGATAATGTTCAGGATATGTTTTAAAACTTTAAGTTGATTGTTTAATGTTTGATCTTACAGCAATGAAACAAAGCCTTCACAAAAACTTTGGTACATGCAAGTGCTCCTGTTGAAATAGAAAGCCAATAAAAGTTAAACAGTTAAACTGATTGACTCCTTTAGTACGGATAGTCTTAGAACATTTTGTGAAAAAATCTGCAACACAATATTGCAGGCACGTCTGCTATTTTAAAAAATAATTTATTCTTCAATTTGGAAATTGAAATCATCATAAGTGCACTACCGTTTCTGTCGAGCACCCACCCAGCCCCCGTCAGTGCCTGCCAATTACTTTATCACTGCGCTGAATACAAAAAAAAAAGTTTCCTTTTCTTTACAAACTCTTTATTACATCATTAATACAATCTGGGTGGCTAACAAGCCTACAAATACTTACAATAATATTAACAGATGGCCAGCATTTTCGTCTATGACCAACTATGATACAACATAAATAGGGAGTTCAACCTTGCTTTACTAGCAGATGATGTACAGCAGACTCTAAGAGCTTTCACCTTGACAAATACAATACATAGGTAACGATATTTTTTTTTACCTAAAGGTTTCATATTACAAATATGTACAACCGTTGTGAACATGTTTGTGAAAACATTCTATATTACTATGTTATTGCCGAGTAAAAAATGATTTGGAGGAAAACTCATTATGGTTTTCAAGTGAATGTCATTCAATAATATTATATCCAAATTCCACATGACAACACTGGTAAAATCCTTTCTACGTTTTAATTAGCCTAGGCTATTTAGGCAAACAAGGTCTGAACATTGGGATGTAACTTAGGACTCAAGCTTCCAACGAGAAATTATTTATGAGTATGTAATGATTTTTGTAGCATTCAGCAACTGATATACACAGTCAATAAATAAGAAGTTAGAGGCCTTCACTCTTTGCTGTGCTCCCTCTGAGGCTCCATCCAGCACCATATGGTAAAGATCGGAGTGAAGCTGTTCATTTACAAAGAAACAACAAAGTTGAAGTAAAAGGACTCACCACAAAATATTCAAACTAGAAAAACGTTAAAGAAACATTCTATGAAACCCCCGCAAAGAACTTCCATGCTGGAATCTAATGCAACCATTACAGTAACTAAAGTTAGTCTTGATGCAAGCAGAGAGTGGAGACAAATATGGGTCTCATGCATAGCATTTCTCCACTAAGAAAAAGCGTTTGCTTGTAAACAGTCCTGTGCAACTGATAAAGCAAAGTAAGTGAAGAATGATCANCATCTATAACCGCAGTTCATATATGAAATATTTCATATAAACTTTACATGATAAAGCAAAGCCAACATGTCCCTTACCAAACTCTGGACAAAACCCCACAAAATTGGTTGTCACAAAAACATGTGTCTAACTAATCAATGTCTCATCTATAGACTGATATTTGGCTGTCACTGACAAATCACTTAATGAATCAACTTTACCCTGAAAAGTTGGTGACAGTGGTCATCAGATAGTTGACAGTTGACTATTTATCAGCAGCTTGCATGCCAGCAGGTTACCAACAGACCAATAAAGACCAGTAACACAAAATGGGAGGTGCTGATTTCAATTACTAACAACCGCACCTGTGTATTTTCAGCAAGATCATCAGAAAGTTCACTGTCATCCTCCTTCATTCGTAGCTTGCAAGAACTATGTGTTCCAATATTGAACAATGACCAGTCTTCCTGCGTGCAAACAGAACCAAAAACAAATTATCATATGAACTGGACCACTGTTACATGTAGCCTTGTGGGTAAATAGATATTTACGACGAATAATGTTTTTTGGTGAACTTTGCATATTTGTTTGTGGAGGCATGCTGGCCTCATGATTAGTGTGCTCATTTCCAGATCGAGAAGTCCAGTTTTGAGCTTTGTTCAGGGACTTTGTGTTGTGTCCTCGGGCAAGACACTTTACTCTCACAGTGCCTCTCTCCACCCAGGTGTATAAATGGGTACTGGCGAATTTAATGCTGGGGGTAACCCCGGGATGGACTAGCATCCCATCCAGGGGGGAGTAGAAATACTCCTAATCACTTCATGCTAACAGCCACTGAAACCGAGGATAAACTATGGCCTGATTGATGATTTGTTTACCTCTAAAGGTTGTTCATCCTCCAGTTGTTCAACAGCCTGAATAATGATTTTGTCCTTGCCACAATCAGCATTCCATTTACTCCAGGTATATGCAAATGCAGATGCTGTCAATGACATTTCCTGGTAAATGTTATTCTCCAACCAATTCTCCTGATAATCAAAATCAAATTTATTAACAAGTACAACACACATCTGAGTTTCTTGGATTTTAGAGTATCAGTGTCAATTGTGCCCCAAAATATAATTAAAAAATTGCATAAGCCTTCAGGCAAGTGCAATTTGAAGAATTTTCAAATATCATGAGTAGTGTAAATGTGGTCCTTAATTGCCTAAATGAGCTTTCATACAATTACTCATATGACTGAGAAAATTACAAACATGCACACATTAATTTCACAGCAATGCAAATTAAAAATTAAGCATGAAGTAATTTTCTTTCTTAGTCATGTTATAAATATCCTTAACAATAAATGGCAAATACTTTTGACTTGAGACTGTACATACAGAGATGAAGACATCACATGCTATGTAAACATTAACTATAAAACTACTACATTTAAATCCAATGAAACTACAAACTAATAGTTTAGTTAATGGAAGTTAGCAATGACCATGTACTGAACAGCAACAAAAAAATACCTTGGAATTAATGCTGACATATTTTTCTGCATCAACAGCTGGAAAAACATTCACTCCAGCCTTCTGCATGGCCTGGAAAGATTTCATCAGTAAACCAACAAAAAAATAACAAACATGCAATTTTTAAATCATTTTGGACAACTGCGTTTAGAATTACTAATTACTGTTATCATCATTGTCAGTATGAAATATTGAAAGTAGTTAACATGACATCTCTTAAATGTTTGGCTGAACTGCTCCTTGATCATGTACCCGCAAAAGATAGAGCACACAACAGTCCCAGCAGGAATGCATTTGGGAATTAAAAGGCCCTCTTGGGATTATAAAGCGTTTTATCCAATGTCTCTTTGTACCTCAATCAGCTGTTGTGGTTTCATCCATTTTCCTTTCAAATGAGCAAGCTCAGGAGTATTGTCTGGCTGGGTCAAAGCACACAAAGAATCCTGCAGGAATAACAAAGCACTCAGATTAAGCTTTATGGAGTCTTGGATGGCGCTCAAATATGTTCAAGACCCTCAAAGGGAAGGAGCAGGCTAAGGCTGACATTTTATTTTCAGCTGCAAATATAAATCAGGCACTGGACAGAAAAATACATGTAAATACAAGTTACAAGTCTAGAAACAAAATAAAGTCTAAAAAGTTTAAACTTTGTTCAGATAAATTGTCTTAGGAAGTTAGGAGATTATCATATAAAAGAAAACTGAAATATGCCGTTATAATACAAGTAGTTTATTAGTTCACTTTGACCTACTGGTTGCATAGTGATAAATGTTGATCATGTATTAGCCTATTGTAGCTAGGGTACATGAGCTCTTCCTTAGTTTGACCTGATCTGCAATATGTATGCATGTGCGTATAGAGCTTTTAATAAGATCAGGCACCCAGTGGAGTTCCAAGTATTCTGTTACGAATTGCAACTATAATGTTACTAGATTACAAAAATTGATCTCATGGTGGAAATTGTTTTGGCCGTCTCTTTTTGCTTTCTAGGATAGCCACCTATTTCAAATCTTATTGAAAGCACCAGATTATACAATCATGTCACCTTAATTTCAATTTCCAGTTCAATAATGGCAGCAATAAGGGTGAACAGACAGCTGTTGGTAGCATGAGGACGTAGTTCCCACGACTGGAATGGCATGTTAAGATAGAGATCCTGGAAAAAACAAATCCACTTTAATATAGTCTTAGCAGTACTGTTTGTTATATCAAGATCTTCATAAGATTTTGTAATTAGATGAGAAAATTTTAGACAGTCATAATAAAAAGGAAAAGGGACAGACAGAGTACGTCAGGAAAACCAAGCGTCTGTTTAAAAATCATTTACAGTAAACATTTTTAAATAAACTAAATATTAATAATAATTATATTCAGTCTGGATTTTCTGCTGTCTGTCTTGCCAAATTTGGTTTTGTAACTTGTTCATTTTTAGACACTCAATCTTCTTTTGTTTTGGCATGATAGGATACACTATGTGGCCCTGAAATTTTTTCTTTTCTTTTCTGGTCTTGTTTTGTTTCTTGCTTTTTTTGCTGAGACAGAGGGCACATGGAAATATCTTGGGGGACGTATCAAGAATTCAGCAGTCTTTTTCGATCAATATTTTGTTAAGAAGAGGAAATGAATTAGTAATGACAAAACCAGTAATGCATATGCATTTAATATATATTTTAAGCATCACTTATCCTCACTCAGTGGTAATGCATGTGCAAAATAACATAGTTTACTAGTCTTACCTGAAAAGTGGCAATGGGACCAAAGGTCGACATCTTCAATAACACAGTTCTCTCTTCTGTGAACATTATGAAAGAATTATAATTATATTTTATTTATTACCCATGTGAAATGCAACACAAATCAGAGGCTATTAATTTTTGCAAATAATTTCATTGTACAACTGGGTTGGAGAAGCAGCAGTATGAAATTTCACCCAAGAGCACAATGTAACATGCAAGATGGTGTTCTTGAGATCCCTTGCTAGTCTCCCCTACATTGTGCTCTTAGGAAACTTCTGATGGTGCCTCTCCAGGACCTGACCAGAAGTCACTGCACGGCTGCAAGTAAAGTGATAACAAGTTGTAAACAGTTACATACAAGTTTTCAATCACTTTTTCAAACTTGAATCCTTACAACTTTTGGAAACCATTCAAGGGTGGTGTACCTTCATTGTATTGTGTGTCTGTAAATGTGTCAAGTCTCCAGTTGTTTTTTGCTGAATCCCACTGTGCCAGCTGGGGCTGTTCAAAATACATGACATTTCCAGGGAGCCTAATAAAACATCAAAAATACATTCCTGATTGCTATACAATCTTTATACACATTTGAAGCAGCTAGAGACACATTGCTGGATGGGATTCCACTACAGTCCATACCAACAGAGTGTTGCCCATTTATATGGGAGGAGAGAGTCATTGAGAGAACAAAATGTTCTGCCCATAACACCAGCTACATTTATACTTGAGACTAAGTGACAAGTCTGGTTTCCGTTAGTAGCATGAAGCAACTGGGGGTATTTCTACTCCCCCCTGGATGGGATGCTAGTCCATTACAGGGTTACCCCAATGTATAATTCACCACCCAAAAATACACCTGGTGGAGAGAGGCACTGTGGGAATAAAATGTCTAGTCCAAGAACAAATTACGATGACCTCAGCCTTAGCTTGAACCTGCAGTCCTGGGCACTAATCATTTGACCATTACATCTCCCACTGACAAAAAAATAAATATGAATGGCACTGAAAATAATAAAAACTAGTTAACATGTTCTACTCACTTGCATGTGATCATTACTGGTGGGTTGGCTATTTGCACTTGAGATGCTGATGCAGAGTTGGGTGGGGCAGGGGTGCTGGTTGTTGAGTTTGAGTCTAAAGCTGTCTGCCCCTCAACTTGATAATTCACTCGTTTGAGCTCTGAAGATACAACTAAAATTACATAGAGTTACTAAGGAAGAGATTTTGGAATTGTCTTTTAATTAGTAATCAGCTACAGCTTAGCTACAGTTGTTTATGAACCAAATTATTATTACTTGAGGTACAACACATTTTAACCATACAATAGATAAACACTTCAGGTCACAAATTGAAGGGCTCCACTGAAAACCGCCTTTGGCGAGTTGGATTCCCTCACTAATTATTATTATTATCATTATCATTATCATTATCATTATCATTATCATTATTATTATTATTATTATTATTATTATTATTATTTTGGATGGTTGACCACCTTGGAACCTTCACAAGCCATGTGGCAAAAAAAAACAACAACAACAACAACAACAACAGAAAACAGAAAATAATTGTCAGAGAATCAATCTTACTCATAATCTCTCTCTAACTGGTACATGTACAATTGATAACTGCCTGAAGGGCCCTGTTATTGGGTTACTACATCAATCTCTTAGCTGCTGATTAGAACTTAGCTCTGACTGTTACAGCTGTTAACAAACCATACATAACTAGCACTTACTCTGCTGCATGATCCACCCATTAACAACTTTAGGCTGTGGTGGAAGATCCAGAAGCTCAATAAACATAAGTGGACCAATAGCACTAAATGCTCTCAGGTCCACAACATCGTCATCTTCCTCCTCTTCCTCATCCAGCCCACTTTCCAGTCCTGTTGCAGCCTCGTCAAGCACTTGATCAGCTGACCCAGGTTTGTCCTCACCTCCCTCACCTACCGTAGCAATGAAAAGAGCAAATCACTACATTTAGATGACACTGATCAGCCATGGCTAGTTTTCACAAGGGTCTTGAATCCCAGTCTAGACTACTTACTCCTCTTAGAGCATAGTCTGTGATCAGGCTCTTTGCTCACAGGCTACTCTGAGCAGCACCTATTTTTATTTAAATTCCAGTCAGAAAAGATGCAATTTAGAACTTAGGAGAAAACGACGGACTGAAAAAGAGGGCCTGCTTGAGTCTTAGTGTAACTAAGTAGAACTTTTGAGGGGGGGAGAGGGGGGTCAGGAGAACCAGATGAACCATGTAAGCCTTATGGAGAAAGGTATCAGTAAGAGAAACAACAAAAAAACTTGATCATGTTTGAGAGCTGGCCAGGCTAAATAGATTTCCAGGAGGAAAGTGCTAACACCGAACTAGCCCATTCATCACTCTCCAATTATAGGAAGACAGATCATAGGTTTGAATTCTGTTCAAGTCTGACTTTTTTTCAGGCTATATAACTGCAATTATTTCTCTTGTCTTTAAATCTTTCTCTTGAAGGTCCGTTATTATTGTCGCAACATGATCTGCTCCCAGTTGACTTCACAGCTCAGTTGGTAGAGCACAGCACCGGTACAGCAGAAGATATGGGTATGAATTCTGTTCAAGCCTGAACTTCTTAAGGCTGAATAAATGCAGTCAGATCTCTCTTAATAATAATGTCTTTAAATCTTTCCCTTGAAGGTCAAATAATTATTGTCTTCATGATATTTCATATATTATTCACTTGCAAAAGAATAACTTTATTACCATCTTGGTCTCCTTCTTTAGCTTCCCCTTCTTTGTCTTGTTGAGTCTCACTATCACTGACCTGACTTCGAACACTCTTAGCACTGGCTTTGCGACTACGACTACGACTACTTTTACCACTGCTGGTTCTTCCACTCTGCAAAGCAAATATACTCAACACTCAGCCACAATTTTTACTTAAGTCATCGTACACTAATGTAGTTCTCTGACTAGGAATCCCACAGTTATAAAAATTATAATAAAATAAATTAAATATATTATATTGTTTGTCTCAGTCAAGATGCAGACACTTATAAATAAATTAAATAGGATACAAATGTACCCTGTTAGTAATGTTTTGACTACAATTCCCGAATAGGATATCATGAGCATGGTTGCCGCAAAACATCACTTTTCAAAATTTCCTGGCTTTTCCCTGATACAATATATATTTCCCTGACCAACTAAATTAGACTGATAAGTTTTCAACAAATTTTCTTTTTTTATTAAGTTAAAATATCGTTGAGATCACAGTGACCCCAAGTGTTTCTACCAGCCTTCAATGGTATTAAATTAGCCGGGTTAATTTATTTCAATTTTTCCTGACTTTTCTTCAAAATGTCTATTTTTCCTGACTCAAAATAAAATTCCCTGACTTTTCCCTGACATTGAAGTTTTTTTTTTTTCCCTGACCATTTCCTGACCAGAAGAAACCCTGATGAATGTACCTGACTGGGAAAATCTCATAGTTGCATATTAAGCTTACACCTACATGCTGTTTGGATTACTAGCACTAAGAAGCAAGCAAACAGTCAAGTGTGCTACTATCTTTCCACAAGCTAGGGAATTGGAACATTCGAGTTTTGCCCATTTGCATAGCAAACCATAATCCAATACATATGGGTTACTGCCCAAGCGTGAGGTCAAGATGGCTGCATATTGGTCAAGTTATTTTGTGTGTTTATGGACCAGGATGGAGTCGTGGTCCAGATAAACATGCTTTAAAAGAGCAAGGCCAATATCCAGCCATCTTGACCAAACAAGCTTCCAAGGTCAATATTAAAGCATTTTAATATTACATGGACTTTGATGAACCTGCCTTAGCTTTTGGGAAATTTTTCTCTTGTGAGAAACAGCGTATAATCCCAAGGGGACAAGATACCGCCATCTTGCCCGCTCAGGTAGCCAATCACAGTGTAGTATTTGGTTCATCTTGCCTACTCACAGAGCTAGCCATATACTAAGACTGTTAATTATAATATACACTCACCTTTTTTCTGCTTGCTTTACTTGCACGGCTGGCTTGTGAGGCAGATTTTGGTGGTATGGCCTCCAGTGACTCCTCTGCTCCTTCTTTGTCAGTTCCATCATTACCTTCACCTGTCTGTTTTTAAAACACATCAAAATCAGACTTAAATAATAGTCATGTAATATCAGAACTAGCTGAACAAATGAAAATTTGTACCAGTTGGATAAGTTTACAAAATTTGAAGCTAAAATTTATTGGCTTTATTAAAGAGCAGAGGGTAGCAAAACAAGTTCTGACTCACACTGTGAAAGAACTCAAGAAGCTCAATACATGCACATGGGAAGATGAAATGAGCATGTGGTGAGAAATGTTGTTTGCTCAAGCTTGCTTATTAAGCATTGAGGGAAAAATATTTTGACTCATGAATATGGAACTAAGAGACAGTATCATTTCACTTGTAATGTACATGTAGTACGAGTCACATCTAGTTTACGAGAAAAAATACAAGTTGATGTTAAACAAAAAACATTACCCCATCTGCATCTGTTTCTTCTGCTGGAGGTGCTTCTTCCACCACTACCTCTGGAGGTTTAACTTTGATCTTGGGGTAAAATGATTTGGACAAGGGAGAGAGATGATCATATCTGGTGTACATAACACGAACAGCCACATTCCCAATAGCAAGAACTCTTGGGATTTCCATTGTGAACCCCATCTTTTCAAATGAGAAGGACTTCACTCTGGGAAAAGAGACAGCAGCAAAATACAAATTAATAAAAAACTAATGATGATCTTCATAGAAATGAATGCACTTCAGTGGGCAAACTTGAAAATCAGGATTGTATTACATGATTCATACCCATGTAGTGCTATACAAAAAAATAAATAAATAAATAAAANGTTCGAATCCTGTTGAAGCCCTGATTTTTTTCAGGCTTCTTCTTTCCAATTGCTTAAATTGGAAAATTAACTGCGATCATTGATCATTCTTCACTTTCACTCAAGACAGTGTTTGACCACATTTCCAAACACCTTGAAAATATTTGTCAAAAATACCCAGCTGCTCCTGGTATTTTCAACTCTCTTCTCGGTATTTGGAAATGTGGTCAAACACAGTCTTTCATGTTTGATTTATTACATCATGCTCTATGGGCCAACACCAACAATTCACAGGGTATTTCTGAATGCTCTATGGACTGGTGGAATTTATAATTAAGCATGTTTTCTAAATGCATGATACCTTGGATTCTTGGCTACATTTCCCCATACACAAACTGTCACATTTTCTGAGCCACTTGTAAACTGCAAATTTTGTGTATCAGGATCTACATCACCAGATGCATTCTAAAAAAATATTATGAATACAAATTAAAAGTAAATTGAAGTATTTTAATACCTATTCATGAATTTGATAAACATTACTAGTTTTTGACAACTGTTGATTAATTAAAAGGCCATCATTTAGTCCACCAATTTCAGACTAATTTGCTTGACTCTGATAATAAAATATAAAGTACAACAATCATTGTCTTGGTGAACAGTCTAAAAAGCTCAAATCATGTCAACCTAACCAGCTCCCTGCACACACAAGCTTCCAGATTTTGATTCCAAAGCAGGCAATGTAAACCGAAAAAATAGCTCTGTGGGCTGATCTGTGAGTAGTGACTACTAAGAACCCTGCCAAGGCAGGTAATTTTCTCAGCAGGAACCCTAGAGGCAAAAACTCTGCGGCAGATCCTGCCAAGAATCACACCAAGAAAAAAGATCTTCTCCAGCTGGATCCTGATGAAAATCCCAGCGACCAAAATGTCAGCAGGATCCTGTTGGGATTCCCACCAAGACGGTGGATTTTACAAGGGTAAGAGGTATTATTACACCTGTCCGTTACCTGCAGTAGATTCATGGTAGCCTCATCAAGTTTATAGCTGATCAGCTCTTGAAGGTTAAGCACAGACTAAAATGGAGTAAAAAAAATACATTTTAAACTTTGTCCTTTGTCCTGTATAGGTCTCAAAAAGAGGAATGTTTAAAAGTTGCAAATTCCAAGTCTCGTGGCCACTTATCTCTGCTTGCTTTAAAAAAGGCGACGATAGGTAAGCGGGTGCTTGTCTGGTCATACATTTAAAAGCAAGCACAGCGTCACGATAATACAGTTGTGATTTAACTGACAACCAGCGTAACTCTTTTATGACTGGGGTCACGTGATCAAACTTTTTGGTATTATTGGACTAGCTTGACTGGGACCATATTATTGGTAGTTAGTCCATAAACTCTGGAATGCATTAAAAGAAGAAGACCAACACTCTCCAATAAGTTGACCTAACAAGCTAGTTCAATAAAGTATTTGACATTACAATTCTGCTGATGAATTAATTCAATCATACTATTGTAGTCAAACGTTCAACACGCTACTTGGTTTAAATCGATAAGATGAAATGTGCAATTAAATGATGGAGGGCGAAGAAAGCGATGAAAAGGGAGCGGTTGCTACAAACAAAATAAATTACAAGTTACAGGCGAAGTTACAATAAAAGAAACAAGAATAACGAACCAAAGGTACACAATATTTACAAACGTTGTATGACTAGGAAGGTAAGGAACACGTAAAAGGAAAGCGGCAGGGCGGTAAATGAAACGAGATGGCAGTAGCGTCGCAATGAAAATGCACAAATAAACTAGAAAAAGGCATACAAAAGGGGACAAAATTATGTGAAAAAACCTAACAGAATATCGATAACGTGAAAGCGAGATAAACAAAAAGAATGCGATGATCACAGAAAGAATGCACGTACAAACGGAAAAAATAACAAAGAATTAAATGGGGCTGCTACACATCCAATCCATTCTCTGTAAATGGGCGGGCAAAAGTTAGGCATTGCTTACATGTTTCAGACCGTTAAATTCAAACTGATGATACCAAGAACAATTGTACCTGTTTAAGCCTTTGAACCTCATCTTCTGTGAATCCTTCTTCTTCTGAAATGGATATAAAATTCTCCAGCTCTCCAATAAGCTGTAAATATATATTAAGTACAATAAATAACTAATTAATAAAATCATCTTCAGACTATAACAACAAAAACTACAATTTAATAAATAGAATTTATAATCATCCAATTATATTTTGAAAAAAAGATTTCTGATTTCCACTGATGCTATGTCTAGTTTTGTAGATGGAATAATTGAAACAATAAAAGTACAAAATGAGAGAGTAAAAATATGATATTAAATTATTCACTTCAGTAAGAAAACCAAATAAAACACTTGGAAGGTGAGTGTATACAATAAGAAAGAAAAATTTGAACATTTCAAATACCTTCAAAGTTCCTTCACTTTCACTGAGTACAACTGGAACGGACTTGTATTCTTTATCATCTCGCCAGAGGTTCATGTAAGTGCTGAGCTCACGTGTGTTGAGTGGATCAGGGTTTCCATCACAGAGCATGTACCTTTCCCACTGCAAACATAAACATAATGTCCAGTTATTTTACCAGCTGAGGGTAGCCCACTCAGCAAATAGGCTGGTATCCATAGATGAAATTAGTTGCTCCTGATTCCTCCTACGGGCCCCCAAAACGAGTAGAAAGTAAAACTGCATGGAATTTTTTTAGACCTGGTACAAAGTTGCCTTGAAACGCATTGACTAAATAACATGATCACAGATATGTAGAGAGAGAAACACAAAAAACAATCAGGTCTAAGGGGTGTTTGGGGACACCTCCCCAGTGTTTGCCATGACAAGCAACTCCATCTCCCTAGCATACAGTCACTGGGTTGAACAGGAGTATCGGCAGGTCAAATGATTGCAGGACCATAACATGTGCAACTTTTGGGCACAGTATGTGAAAATCGAGAAATCATTCACCAGATTCTATCTGATGCCCTAGGGCTAATGGACTGTCTGTCAAATGGTATGACATTATGTCATTGATCTAGCATATGCCACCGACTTTAGGTTTTGGTAGATAAAATAAGGTTAGCTAGGGGAAACTTGGGAGGCACGGTGGCCTCATGG